TACTCACTGACGATGCCGACTACGATGCCGGCGAAACGTTTGGGAATGTACCACGTCCACGGTTCAACTATGGAAGTGATCATGCAGACAATGGACCCCGGACGAGGTGCGTTCCAATAAGTCTTCCTACCGAAATGACCATGTTGCGAAAACCAGGTCAAACAACCTCTATACAAGAAAAATCGAGTTGCTTCGCTGAGATCGAGTATCTTGGCCCGAACAGAAGCCGAAGGCTGTTCAAGCATTTAAATTCTGAATGGAAAGTCGGTTCTTCGTAAAAGCATAGCCCCAAATTGTTTTTAAGGGGTTGTTCTTTGATTTGTGAACCTGCCCGGAAGACAGGGATTTGTTGAAGGTTCATTTGCATCATTTAAATCCGCCACTTCTAGGCCTTCCACAGAGCGCATAAATTGAGGGCATGGCGTTGGTTTTGGTGTAAACGAACGAGAGTGTTCTGCCTTAATCAAGCGTTTCTTTTGCCCACCAATTTTGCCTCACTCCAAAGGCTCCCGAAGTCGTGGCTTCCGACAAAACCGGTTTATCACTCCGTTCATTTCGCTCGACGAGTTCGACTTCACCTATTCTGTGAACACTCTTTCGTCGGCGACACCCTCGACAACAGCCGACCAACGCTCCAAGAAGACATTTGAAGCGAATTCGCGGTCCTGGGACTCTGAGACGAGCCGGACAAGCCCAACGGAAGCACAGCGGAACTCGCATTCGCAGGCCGAGCCTCAATCGTGGCGGCTGCGCGACAAACCGTGGCCGAACAGGGCGACCCTCCTCGAGTCTCAGAGCTCCCCGGCCGAAGAGTACCCAATCACCATCATGGCGAAACACCGCGTCACTGGGCAGCTCGTCAACGTCTCCCTCACGATGATGTATTACCAAGGCTCGACTGACTATATGGCCCCCTCCGGCGCCTACATCTTCCGTCCGAAGCAGGGGACGAAGGCGAAGCACTTTGACAGACCTGCGGTCAGGGTAGGTAGGCTTCACCGGCACTTCTTTC